TTCGAGGCCGGCGTGGATCCCCGTTCGCGCCCCCCGATGAGACCCGTCCGGGCCCACCACTATGTGAGCCCCAAGTTTGTCCACAACGCCAGTGTCACTGAGCTTGCTGGGCGGCGCGTTCCAGTCGCCCCCGATGATGACGGGGGCCTTGTAAAACTTGATTCACTTGCCGAGCTTCTCCAACCCGTCAGAGTTTGGGGGGGGGCGAAGCCGATGCCCTCTTTCACGTGGACGGAGTCCGCGAGGAAACCGCCTCGAGGCCCAGCATGCACGAATATCGCAACACACCAAGCTGGCATCAAAACGTGGTCGCGAACTCCCGCGAACGAATCCAAGACTGCGGCGCCTATGTTCCGCTTGACAAAACGCTGCACCTGCCATGGGCTTCCCAGTCGGCCCCGCGAGGCAACTCGTAATGAAAGGCTTCCATCCATGAGAGATGCCCCAGTCTTCTGCGCGTAGTGCAGCATCGCCAGATAAGCGCATCTCTTGGGCAGCCACGATTGACGCACCGTGAGCCCCCTCGCCCACGAACTCTTTCATTCTGGCCCAGGCAGCAGTACTGTATGTGACCATCCAGAGAGATCGCCTGCGAGAACGACTGCCAGCACGCCGAGAACGCGCAGCAGGCATAAGAAGGTATCGGAAGATGGTCCTATCCTGGCACACCAGTCGCGGCGGGTCCCTCTTCCATTGGGCTTGAGGACCTCGGAAAGTCCCACTGTGAGCCCTGAGGATGCGCGTCATCAACTCCTTGAGATGGCGCTGCCGATCCTGGCGCTGCTGGTGCCTGCTGCGGCGCCTGGACAGGTGGAACTGGAACCGTGATAACTGGACCAGTGGCCTGCTGTAGTGCCCGAAACTGAGTCTCAAGCGACTGAAGCATGGCCGTGTGATTGCCTGCCGCGGCAGCCGCAGGCGCTGAGCTAATGATGGCCTCGAGCCTGCCCATGGCGTTGCCGACGTCATGCGCTGCTGGAGCCGATGTAGATGGTATTGCAGCCCGAGCCACCGAAACCTCCGGCGTGATCTTCGATAGCTACTGCTGCGCAGCGACGAGCAGAGCTTGCTTGTCTGCCAGCTGCATCTCCAAGGCGGTGACGCTCTCAGACAGCTCCAGCACCTCTTTGCTCTCGGCCGTCTGCCTGTCCAGCGATCTGCGTAGTAGGTCGTCGGGCGACCTGAGATTGCGCTCATTGCTCTCCGCTGCCGCGAGGTCCTGCCTTGCTTGGATGACCACCGGCCGCCGTCGTCTCGTCGAGGCCGAGCTTGCGTAGGGCGGCTAATGCGCGTCGAGCCGGGGACTCAACTGCGTGTGCTGGCTTATCTTGGGAACTTGCGTCAGCGGCCTGACCTCTGTCCCGAGATGTTGCACGTGGTGGCCGT